TGGGTGGGAAGGGGGTTTGGTTGTTGGAATCTTGATTGAACCTTGTGCTGAATGCTGAAAAGCGGCAAATAAAGTGTTCTGTTCATTCATTCATTCATATTTTGTTTTGATGTATGTGTATGACATTTCTTGCATTGTGCTTGAAGCTCATGTGCAGAGGGGAACTACGTATCAAGATATTATACTCAATACCATTGAACTCGGAGTAAATATTCTTCTCTTTCCACGACGATTTTGCCTCCGTAGTCGGAATTCAGCCCTGGGAAACTTTCGAAATACCCCGTCAGTCGGAATGCGTTGTTTAATTCATGTTTCTGCAAGGTACGAAGCAACAACGCGAACCGGAATCGCAGTGATTAATTTGCACCGCTTCAGAGGATGCAGCTCTCCTTTCAATGAATCCCATACACAAGGGGGTTCCCGTATCCGCGCGACGACGTATCATCATTTGGCGGCGGGGTTCCATCACTCATCTGCGTATGTATTTTCATGAATCACGCTTAGGTAAAGGGTTTCCCCGTAAAAAAAAAAAATGGTGATCGGGGTGTTATTTTTTGAATGCTGCAGGTGGAGAATACCGTCAGAAATCGGCTTACCGTATTTACAAGAAGTGAGACGCGTATATAATGGGGGACTTTTGCGGTAGTCTAAGGCAGTGTTCCTCAACCTTTTTGGGTCTGTGGACCAGCAAATTGAAAAAAAACATTTTGTCTCGGACCAGTAAATTCCCAAAAAATTGTATGCGGACCAGCAAAGTTTCATAAAATGTTTGCAGACTGAAAGTTTTGTTTAGATGTCATTATCACCGTAGTCCAAGGAAGTGTTCCCTAACCTTTTTGGGTCCGCGGACCAGCAAATAAATAAACATTTTTGCAGACCGGTAAATTCCCAGAAAAAATTCTGCGGACTTGCAAAGTTTCACGGAATTTTTTCAGACTCACATAAAATTTGCTTGAATGTCATGCACAAGGAAGGTATCCACAAGAAAAATTCAGTTGAGAATGTCATCACACAATTAAGAAGGTGGGCTTGGAGAAAGGTTTCTCGGGATGAAAAATTAAAATAATTTATTTAAAAATAATTTATTTCAGCAAGTAAATTTTTCTGAAGTTTTATCAGGAGAAAAGCCAACTTTGGTTTTCATCAGATAATTCAACTGCCATATTGTCCTTCCAAAACTTTAGGTTATAAGAGAACAGACTTCACTCTGACTTTTGATAAATTTATTATGCTGAAAATTTTACGCGGACTGGCTTGGACGCACAGTTTGGATATGAAAATTTAATGCAATTCTTACAAGAACCAAGTATACTCCACACAACAATCAACACAATGTTCTCAAACTTGAGCATGAATCAGAGATCAAACTTCTCTCAAAGATAATGCAAATTTCATTGATGATTTTTGTTGTTTCTAAAATTCTAAAAAAATTCATATTTGTAGGTTCAACACTTCTCAGGTATACTAATTTTGTTCTTGAATCACCTCCAACAATTTTTGTAATTTTTGTCAGTATTCGAGGCTAAGTAGCATGTTTTATTATTTCCATCAAACACCGCTCCTTTTCTGTCAAAATCATGAACAGCTGCTTTTTGTTGTTGACAATTCTGAAAGTACTCTGATTGATCATTTGTCTCTTTCTCAATAAAAGAAAAACTTCGAA